TGTTTGAGTAAAATGATTGTTCTGATTAGAAGAAAATGGAAGATTGTATAAAATAACCTGCAGTGAATTATTTTCTTTCCTGCTTGGGGAAGTTTCAGGCCATTCAGGTCTGGAGATATTTAAATTCAACTATACTACTTTTTGGAGATACCATGAAAAATTCTTGTGGAAAACAAACATTGTATTAAACACAAACAAGAACTTTAATGAGTGCAAATTTCAGTGGTCCCATAAAATAAGCATTTTCATATTTGTAACCCTAAATAAAATACATATCAAAATGATTGACTAGTGCTACAGTGTCTGATGATTATTATATGTTTATAATATCTTTAAATGGGAAATTTTTAATTCTGAATTATAAACCACCCAGTGTCATTGATTGAGATGGGTAACCAAAGAAAATGCAGGCACTCTGCATGAATGAATGAATGAATGAATGAATGAATGAATGTCGGTATTCTTATTATGTGAGATCTATTCAAATAATGCCAAAATCTCATGAGATTGAAGCAGGAACAATGCCCATTACTTTTTTTTTTACATTCCTGGATATGATCTTAAATATGGAATCTTTGAGATGAAGAAATCTCATAGATTTAACTATATTGTGATGTTGCTTATATATTACCATTTCATTATGAAAGTTTCTACAATGGTGAGCAAATTAAAAAAAAACAAATTCAGCTTTGATCCAATACACAGTTTATTTAAGAAGTTGGAAAAATATTTCCACTGAATAAAAGATGCTTTTGACACTGTTCTTTATGAAATCTGATCTGCACCTCATTAACTAATCTATACACTAAAACTTAAATCTTTTATGCTTCAGAAATGTCCTGATGCAATTCTTTGTTTAAAATGCATTTTAAAATAAATAAAAAAATAAAAATGTTATGCTATCCAGAACAATGGGAAACAAGTGCTGAGTTTGTTTGATATGTCTTTTTATTTTATTTTTTACCTCACAATGCAGACTAAATTTCATCTGTAGCTAACTGTTCACTAGCTTAAATAAAATGTTCACTTGTCAGCCACAGCCCCATTCATCAATCCAGAACATGTGAAAAAAAGTCAACAACTAGGTAGCAATAATCAAATCCTATCCTATTAGGCCTTGGAAAGTTATACAAATAATCCATTTGAAATCCAAAAAGCTTAATGAGGGAGACATATAATAACCAGCCAAACTTAATGAGCTTCCTACATTCCCATTTCCAGCCATATGTGGCTGTACGATGATGAAAAATACTCTGATTTTTCAAAGTCCTACAAGTAAGGAAATTTTGATTTTTATCAGTTTTGCTAATAATTATGTTCTATTATCTTTCATCCATTATCTGAGGGTTTTCAGAAAAAAATGAGATGGAGATAAAATAGATTCTGTCTCCCTCTCCCTCCCTCTCCCCACTCTCTCCCCATCCCTCATCTATCTATCTCATATAGGCATCCATTTGTGAAATTGTGCATCTCCTTTCATTTCTTTCTCTCTGTACTCTTTATTCTGTATTAGTTCCTATTAGTTTTATGTTCTTTTAAAAACTTTTAATAAATTGTATATAAACCAGGAAATGTGCATCTTAATTGAATGCTGATGAGAAATAAGGTCTGTTTTTTTAAAGATACTGAATTATGGTCTTCAGCGGAAGCTTATAGAATGACAATAGAATCTGATGTAATATTGACTGATTTTTAGCATTGATGTTTGTCTGAAAACAGGCTTTTGGAACAACACAAAATGCTATGTCAATTAAAAAATACAAGATATGAATAAAATGTTTACAAGGTATGAATCAGTAGATCAAAATAAAATGAAAAAACAAAAGTGCTATAATATCACTTTTTCCTGTAAGAAATCATTTAATTAATAAACTGTTTCTCAACTTTTTACATATACACTGTCTCATCAAGATTATTTTAATTCTCACATATACTGTTGAGAATATCAACTCTTGAAAGTTAGCCAATTGACCACATAATCTTCTTCATTTCAAAATTCAGGAGTTGCAATATCTACAAGAAGCAAACCATAACATCAAATAAATTTATTAAACAGCAGTGCTAATTGTACATATTGAAATTCCATTTCATCACCATAGCAAAGATAATCCTACTTCTTCAGCTGAACTAAATAATGTTTTCTTAGTTAGATTTATGCATGAGATGCATTGCTGCCTTATAATTTCTACTGATGACATGTGTTCATTCCATAATCAATGTGGACTCCACTCCTGGTCCTGAATATTAGCTTCATTAACTCAATATGATTTATTTCTGTTTTGAATTTTTGTTGTTATTGTTGTTATTGACATTTTAAAAATTGTGCTGGGAATCTTTTAAAGGACAGAATATAATTCAAGTTAAAAAAAAGTCAAATACACAAGCAGGATTTTAAGTTGAGTGTTGGATGAGAATGTGATCTTTGCATTTTGCTTTACTTGATTTAACATGTAGGTGGATTTCTATTCTGCTCACTGTTTTCCACATTCCCTTGGTTCAGAAAGGCTGTTCATAAAAACTGTGATATGTAATAGAATGAAATAATAAGATGGCCTTAAGTAAGTCATCATAATTTGTCCTTCTGCTAGTTTACCTTTCTTACAATCAGATTGTGGCATTTAAATAAAACGTGAGGCTGTGGAATGAAGGGTAGACTTACTGAACAAAATATGACAAACCTGTTTTAGTCATAGATATATGTTTGTATATATTCATAGTGAATATATGATTATTCCATGTATCATAAAAACGGTGGTTAAATGGAATGAAATCTGAAAAATAATCTAAAAGTAGAGATAATGGCATCTCCTGTCCAATCCTTTCTGACTCTAATGTGCAGTGATCTTCTCCATTTCTTAGCCGAGGAAGCCAGCATTGTCCAAACACATTTTCTGTGATCAGGTGGAGAGCATGACTATACACCAAAGCACACAGAATGCTGTTGCCTCCTCACAAAAATAGCACCTATTTATCTACTTGCATTTGAACTGTATGCTTTTGAACTGCTAGGCAAACAAGAACTGAGGTAATAACAGGAGCTCACCCTGTCTTGCAGCACTCAGGTTTCAAACCTGGACTTTCAGTTTTCCAGCTAACAAGTTCAGAGTCTTTAACTGCTGAGCTATTGTACCACCTTACTGCAAAGTAGGCGTTTTGTTGTAATGCTGCTTCTTGTCTAAGTCTATTCAAGACATTCCAGTATAATCTAATGATTATATATGTACTGCTATGATTCTGATGGGCATTTGAAAATGGGATTGCTTGCTATTTTGCTTTCTGGCATTTTATAAATTTTTGCAGGTGTCTATCATCTACAATACCTTTGAGATAGATCAGGCATGAAAAACAAATATACTAATATTAACACCATCATTTTATAGGGTTGTAGTAATGACAGAATCTTGCCAGTCTAAATGTGCCTCCCCTATACCTATCTTTATCTATAAGCTGGTCAAGTAATTTGGGCAGATCAAGTCTACAATGTTTTCTCAAATTACATTTCTGCTTTGGACTCAAATTCCATTTAATTGAACCCTATGGCTTTTCCTCCTGTTCCACAAGTTTACTCTCAAAGCCTATTAGACTTTTCTATTTTATTTGCTTTACTAAACTCTTTGTAACCTCTGAAAAATGTTGAAAAAAAAGAAAAGAAAAGAAGAATCCATCCAAAAAAGAAACATGGATGCCTCTGAAAAATACACTGCAGAATTATATTTTTTTAATTATTACTATCAGCAGTAAACAATCATCTAGATAAGCCAGCAGAAAGATACTTTTTTCAGTAAAGAGCATAGTAAAAATGAAAAGAAACTCACCACAGATGTCGAATAGGCATTGATGTTTGTTTCATGGCCACAAGTGCTCCACCCCAATCAAGGAACCATACATTGTATTCTTCCTCAAAGATCTGCAAATGAAAAAATCCCAGTGTGAACTGTGCATTCCTTCCAAGAAATGTGAAATAAATATATTACAGAAAAAACTGTTTATTGAGCCTAGTGAAAAAATTACCTGTCTCCAGGAATTTCCACCATCCGAAGAAACAAACATGCCAATCTCAGTGTATGACAATTCTGTACCCACATTGCCTGAAATGCAAGAAGATGTATACACATAAGCTCCTATGTGGCTTCAGAAAAATGAAATAGTTCACCAGCAGAAAAACAATTGAAAAATTGTATCTAAAAAATTATATTGTGTTTATTTGGAGATATTGCAAAACTAGGATGGGATAAATAAAAGTAATGAGTACATATATAAACAAATACATTAAATGTAGAGGTATCTAACTGAAAGATATGTCTCATAGATTTATGTTTTCACTGAGTAATTCTAGGGTTTATTTGCAACAGGCCTACACTAGTCTTAAAAAGACTTGATTAATTTTTGGAACAAAGCACACCTCCAAAACTTTGACTTCATTTCTTTGTTAAACAGATCAAATGGACCTTTTATTTGGACCTCATTCATTTACACATTCCTGTTCCACCAATGATAAAAAATAGAATATCCCTAGATCTAGGTGGTCCTAACACCCACAGAACTTCAGTCTGATTAAATCACAAACAATTTAGCCCTATCAAAACTTCAATTGGTTCCTATCTCAACCAGACACTGCAACAGAATATCAGCAATCCCTCCTAGCTGGCCAAAAGTTGAAACATATAACTGGGTATAACTAGTGTATTAATTATACTGAACCCCGACTGATGACCTCACACAACAGTTTAATATAGATGTTGCATAAGAGGGGGGAAAGAATCAAGTTGCAATCTCTCCCTGCAACCAATGCCAAAACTGGCCTCTGAGGAATGAAGAGAACTACCATGAGAAAATAATCTCTTTTCTCAACCCCAAAATGAGCCTTAAATGATGCATGGTCAATTGTATAAAAATTTGCTGTATCAAAGATCACAAGGTGAGAAACCAACTCTATTCCAACTCTACCATTGGTCATTTAAAAACATGATCAAGCTGTATCTGTCCTGGACTGAAACTAGTTAAAATAATCTGCTTCCACTTTCTTAGAAAATAAGAAAAAAACAAAAAGAACCAAGGAAAACATCTGCAATTCAATTTAAATAAAGTTTCCTAAATTACATATCTGATGGAGAAATCAATTTTGGAAGTTATTATTTCACCATAAGAAAAGATGGCTAAATGAAAACTAGCTTCTTCTGTTTTGTTTTATCTTAAAAATGAAAGGAAGATAAAGTCAACTCCCAACTTTTATCGTTTCAGAGCAGGCAAAATAAATACACACTAATGAAAATGTTAATTGAGCACCTGACATTTAATGTTGGAAAATGAAGAATGAAATCCCAGATGTAGCCTGACACATTCCCACTAGTGAGTAAAAGGTACAGCCTGCCAACTTGCAAAGATACATAATATTGCAAAAAAATAAAATCTGAAATTTAAGGGTCATGATTGATACAAAAAGACATAGGGAAAGTTTTTGATACAAACTATTAAATTGCACCATTTCATTCTTGAATTGTTTTAATGAATAAACTTCAAAATTGTTACTTGCATAAAATTTCAGCAGAGTTATTATAGGGATTCTCATAGGCTTCTAAATATACTAGAAAGTCAAGAAAATCTGGAACTCAAAACATTCCTGGGCTGCATATACACATTGCTTAGTCTTATATGTCCAAACCTAAAACTCTGCCACTGATGCAGATCATAACAACAGAAAGCCAGGAATACATTTAGCTTTCTCCCTTTCATTTCCCCTAGTATAGGTGATTCTATGGACACCTTAGAGACCATGTATTTGAGATGCTTTTTATATTTGGATAATCATATCTCCAACTTACAAACTTACACACACATACACACAAACTGGTTCACATCTAACTTTCTTAAGAATGCCATTTTTAAATCTGTTATTTTTTTAAAAAATAGGCCATTATAGTAAGCAGTAAACAATTCATTCATTGTGAGTATAAATCTTTGGTATACCTCCATCAAACATGTTCTTATTTAGAGAGAAAATTGATGCCTAGTAAATAAGAGTTCTGTTAGATGTATTCATTATGGATTTTATTACTAATTTAGTGATTGCTTAATAAAAAATATCACTAACCTTTTCCCTCTGGAATTCTTGAATAAAGAAGGCACTCTTATACTTTATAAATTATGCAAAGAGAAGCTTATTTATGGTGCATACCATGTATTTTATTTCAATAACTGTCTAAAACTGTCTGTACTGTCTATTCAGTTGAGTCTGCTGATAATTTTGATGGTGTTTTCAGGTATACAATTACTTTTGCATTCCAGTAAGAAATACTACACTGCACATAGAATGCAGACAACCAAAATTTTCTCCTGAAAACCAGCAGTCTTGTTTCTACATACCTAGACAAGGAGTTCTTCCTAATGTTAACTTCTGCCCATCTTCATAAGCAAAAGGCAGTTTTCTTGATTGGAAAGACCATAACAAATAGATGTGTGTAAGGAGTTCTTTTTTGAGGTTTGATCCAGTTACTATTGTAGATCAAATTACAGTTTTTTTCTGTGCATTTTCATAATTCAGAGGATTACTTTTTAAAAAACACCCAAGTTAAATCATTTTCAATTTCTCACTATATGTCAAATCTATCAAGTTTGTACTGTATAGACAACTTTGTAGCTTGTAGCTATCTTTGTCTTTTTTAATATAGATTACATGATATAAGTAAAATGCGGACAACAGATAATCCTAGTTTTCATCATGCCATCATTGAAGAGCCTCGGTGGCGCAGTGGTTAGAGTGCAATACTGCAAACTACTTCTGCAGACAGCCAGCTGCCTGCAATTTGCAGATCGAATCCCACCAGGATCAAGGGTGACTCAGTCTTCCATCCTTCTGAGGAGGGTAAAATGAGGACTCAGATTGTTGGGAGCAATATGCTGACTCTGTAAACTGCTTAGAGAGAGCTGTAAAGCATTATAAAGCAGTATATAAGTCTAAGTGCTATTGATATTGATATTGCTATCATCTAGCCATTGTCTATCCACTACAGGATGAAGGCTTCTTTTGCTTGTTTCTAACCAATACAGTCTTGAGCTTACTTTTCCCAGTTGGACATCATACTTGCTGATGTCATTACTCTTTTGTGGATGCTTTTTATCTAGTAGAATTCATTCTATGACTGCCTTAGCCTACCTGCCATTAATTAACCCTAGCTATATAATTACATAACAAAATATCATATAGTTATATAATGCATTTTCAGCCAGAAAATATCATATTAGAAAGCCAATCTGGTAATACTAGTTGTACTAGTATTAGGTAATACTTGTCCAAGAAATCTATCATCTTATCTATCCATTGCTATTTCTCAGATTGAGCTATGTGCATTATACTACTACCTTGTTGCTGGCCAATCTAGTCAAAGAAACTTGTTTACACTTTAAGTCTGAGCATATAACAGCCCTATGCAAATTTATTATGGGCATGAATATAAAAGGATAATAGCTGAGGCAATATGCCAGCTGTCTGACATTCCTGGAAAATGGCAGAACACATGCTAAGGTATAAACACAAGTGATCTATAGTGACAACAATTCAACAATTTTTTGTAACCTTGGGCATCTCTTGCTGAACTAAACATCCTGGGTACCCTGATTCAAGCTGGTTGATGATGGCCACCCTAATGAGAGAGCCTACTGTGAGCAGGCAATTGCAGATATATGCAGGTGCTGTGATGGCTATCAGGTTAATTATCAAGGGCACTGGGCATTGCTGACATTTAACATTATTACAGGCTGTTATTAGAATCATGTGATCAGTTAAAGATAGGTTTTATTGAAAAGCACAGAACATGAAATACATGGCAACAAAGTGTTTCCAAGTTCTTTTGGATAAGGAAAAAAGCAGCCCACCAGTTATGAGTAGTAAGTTTTAAGTTCCAGTCACATGTACTGTACAACTATTCTAATCCCTTTGGCATGTAGCTTTATTGTAAGGTAATGTCTTAAAGTATACACAGTGGTTACCAGTCACCCATTTCCAAACCATAACAACCTTAGTACCAATGTTAAATGGAACATTGCGCATGCATGCATGCATGTTCCCCACACATGCACCACAGTTCCTGCAATGCATGTGCATCCCCATGCATGTGCCCCAGTCCCTGCATAAGCCCCACCCACTGCATGTGTGGCAGAGACCTAAAGACCATCTGGCCAACAAGAATGCACAAGTGCCTGCATGGCGGAACTGAGCTGGGGCGATGGCTTGCGTGCTCACAGAGAGGGTTCTGTGTGCCACCACTGGCACACATGCCATAGGTTTGCCCATCACAGGTCTAGATCATAATCCAATATAGTTGTATATAAAAATATTGTTTCAATATATCCAACATATGCACAAATGCCTAGTTGTTTTCAGTGCTTTTTTATTATCCCTGGTGGTACATATCACTTTTCCAGGATTTACCTCCAAGTTTCAATATGACACTTCTGTTTTAGTATGAAGTCAATATAAGCCAATAGCTGAAATTATCAGTACAATAGTATGGAGGAGTACATATGAGGATCAGTTTGATGCATGGCATAAGAGCCACTCTGTTACATGGATTGATGCTATTTCACAGAGAACACTGGTCTACAAATTTTGGGAAATTATCGATGTCTGAGATAAAATGAGTTAATTTTACATATTTTGATTAGAAAACAGGTAATAAACAGGTTGGTTGGCTAAAGTTTTCAAGATATTTCATAATAAAGATTTAGATACAGGTAAGTATATTTGCCTACAAGAGAGGTAGGTGTCTAATAATCATGACACCTCCTAACTTCTTGACAAAGTATGGTAGAACAATGAAAATGGTACCATATGGAAATTTATAAATTTATCTTCACTTTGAGAACAGCAAGGCAGATGACTGGAAGAAAAACATTGAAATTTGCTTAGGTCCTGTAAAGCATTTGGTGCAAACATGTCAATGAAAACTTATTTCTTACATTCACATTTAGACTATTTCCTTTGAACTGTGGGGCAGTGCATGATGAGATTGGGGAGAGATTCCACCAGGATATCTCAGGCATGGAGAAAATACCAAGAGAAATGTAGTCCATCCATACTTGCCAATTACTGCTGGAATCTCTCCAGGGATGATCCTACTTTACTTCACAAGAAAAAACCCAACAAGTGCAGTTTAGATACTGAATAAAGATGGAACCTTGTTGTTTAATCTAATCTTAGAGCTTGTCAGTTTTTCATGCAGAAAGCATGAAAATGTTACATGAAAAACCAACAAATGAATGGAAAGTTATATTATTGGTATCAATAAAAAGATAAGTGTATAATGATTGATGTGGCACCATTCTCATTGCTATATCACGTTTTGTAGAAAAGTTATGGAACATAATCACACATGCCCCTCATAATTTTGAATTATTTTGATGCAATTTTGACCTGAAGCTGTATCTTGAAAACTGGAGCTAATTAATATTCAGGACTTAATTTTCCTTTATTAGTGATTCAATTCTGGTAAAATTTAGCTACTTTCATTTCGGAAATTTTCTCATTATAGACCAATGTAATTGCCCCTGACATTAGGATCAACAAAGTGATGGCATGTAGTATCTTCAAAGAGAACCCAAAATAATAAACATGGCAAGATAGAAGGAGAGAGAAAAACTGAAGCCAGCTAAAGCTTTGCATAACATAACCAGCTGGATGTTTCAATGACCACCAGTGCAATTATACAGCAATTATAGTATTTTATTTCTATCTCCATGGGGGAGGGATTCAGAATAACCCAAACCCAGAAAAATATTTGGGGAAAATCCTGGAGCTCATCATATATTGACTTTTGGCTGCAATCAAGTGATGGTGCTCTGAGACTCTTTCCAACTTCAGCCATAATTTAGAACCACAATTCCATGCATATTTTTAAAAAATTTCTTTACTCTTACTTGTATGCCAACTATTTTTACAATATCTTACTAATTAGTCATAATGACACTGAAATTGGCAGACATCATATTAGGATAGCCTTAGTGCTTTGTCCCTGTCCTAAATCATATCTTCAAATTATATTTTATATATTAGTTGCATATTGTAAAGAGAAATATTTCCAAAAAAGCATAAACACACACATATATATATATATATATATATTCCAGGAATATGAACAACAAAAAACTAATAAACAAATCTGACTCAAAAGCACTCAATAATTAAATAAATTAATAAAAAATAATAATAAATAAACAAAGCTCTGCCTCTAACTCTTCTTTCCCAGAAATGTACAAAGGCAGTTAACATTATTTTGTTGGCTGTGCTTGGGAAGCAGGCATATATTTAAAAAGAAGAGGAAGAACTAAATAAAGCCATTTTATTTACCTGTAGCAACCAGAAGTCCAGGGACTGTCTCTTTGCTTGAAATGCTGCCTGAAGTGTAAGGGTTTTCAGGGACTTGCAAATGTAAGTGCAAGGAACAGAAAGGCTGAAAGAATTGAGAAATCATATATATATAACTTAAGAAAACACACACACACACACACACACACACACACATATATATGACGACGAACACAATACAGAAGCCTGATGATGGCAGATGAGATTTTGCCGAAACGTTGCTACAACTTTAAAAGCACAACTACAATGACGTGGGAAAATACCCGAACAAAGCCTTTATATATATATATATATATATATATATATATATATACACACACACACATACATACATATATACATATACATATACATACATATATATATGTAAAAACATTTTCTGAGGTTTTCGTGGGTATTTGTATGTGGATCTTTGGTTATATATGTTTTCTGAGGCTTTCGCAGGTATTTGTATGTGTATCTTTGGTTATTCGGGTTTTCTCCCGCGTAAGATTGGAAGTATCTAGGCAATGTTTCGATGAAGTCTCATTCATCATCCTCAGGCTTTT